AAAAAAAAAAACGATTTGTTTCCACCGAGAGGAAGAAGCGTCGCCGTCGTTCACCGCCGCAGCATCGACTAAAATAAGAAATAGAGAAGAGAAMCGGTTGTAAGATTCCTCCTGTGTCTGGTTGTTGTTTCACACAGCTCGCCATGGCTCTGTGCGGGGGTGTCGGAGCCATGGCTTTGCCCAGCGAGCTCATCGTCCACATCTTCTCCTTTCTGTCCGACCGAGACAAGCTCCGGGCCTCGGCCGTGTGCTCCCGGTGGAGGGAGTGTCTCTTCTACCCCGCGCTGTGGACCGAGCTCAAACTGCGGATAGGCGGCGGCGACCGCAATGGCTCCGACGAGACCTCGAAGCTGGAGTTCCTCATGCGGAAGTTCGGCTCGTTTGTGCGGGAGCTGCAGCTGGAGCTCGCCCCGGTGGAAGGAAACCTCGGTCCGCTGAACAACGAGCCGCCGCCGTCGTCGGCCAGGATGGAGCAGCCCCTCGGTCCGGATGGCGACCAGCAGCTGTCGGAGCGGTGGAGGGACGCCATGGCCGCCTACTTGGACCAGATGCTATGCGTGTTCACCAGCATCCGAAACAATAGGTAAACGTTTAAAACCCAGTGCTCATGTTATTACGTCGCTGAATATTTTTCACCTTGTGCTGTAAACAAACACTGACAGTAGAAGTTACGTAACCGCGTCAGGTCTGTGCGGCGGAGCTGTCAGTGTTTTTTGCTTCTGCAGACATTTTTAAATGAGCAGCTCGGAGTCAGCTTGTTTAGTTTTTATCTTGTTCTGGTGTCTAAAACCGGCTACAATAATGGCAGCAAAAAGGGCTTTGTTGGCTGACTACAGCTGCTTAAATCAGCACAAATATATGTTTACACTTTAATGTGGGGCTGTATCTAGATTTGGTTGTTTGAGCAATAAAAAAGTGGCTACTTCATTTCTGTGGAAATTTCCATTCTGCACCAAAACCTTCCCTTTTGTTGTTTTTGTCTCCTGGTTTCTCTTTTTTCTCTCCCCACAGAGCTTTCTAGCATCAACACAAACGAGGGTTTTTTTTGTTGTTGTTGTTCTGCAGAAAACTTTACAGAAATTTCGTGAATGGGGTTTCTGTTTTTGTTTATAACTAAACCAAACCCCCTGAATCTCATGTGGTTTTAGATCAAGCAAAGATTCATGTTGAATTAAATTATATTAGGACTAAACCTAATTACTGGACAGTGTTGTGTTTTATTTTTTACCAGATGATGCAGGAGGGACATGTAGGGAAGCTGTTGATTGTTGAATTCAAAAGGGATATTTAAAACCTGATAATGAAACAAGGTTGTGCATGATTTGTTCAATAGTGTTTAACCATGACAGCACTCTCCTCTCATCTTTTCATGCGTTTAAAATCAGTCTTTTCTTCCTCTCAACATCATTTACGCAAAGAAAATGATGATGATGTAGGGATTTTGGTAAAAAATTTCAAACTTATTTTAGAGCAGTTTTTCTTTTTTTTCTTACTCGTAAGGCTCAATGTAGATTCCAAAACTTTTTTTTAATCAATTAAACATTTAAAGGTCAATAAAGGCCGAAAATTAGGAAGCAAGTGCTCCATTGACTTCCATTATACCGTTTAAAAAAGTGTGGAGCTCCGTAGACATAGTTCGCATCACATTTTTGCAAYATTTTTTCAAATCAAAGCAAAAATAAAACTTTGATAGATTTCGAAACGATAAGGGGAGGGTAAGCATGAAAACGAGCAAAAATATCACAAAAACCTGACCCATGCATTGCCGGGATCGAGCAGTGCATTTATCAAAGTGCCTAGAGTTAATTCACAAATTTACCTGCGTGGATCAAGCATTTTGCATGTTTTGTTGTCTATGTGATACATGTGTTCACTTAAGCATTTATTTAGACTGGTTGTTTGTCCTAAGAAATGTAAACATCCTGTTTTGAGAGCATCATTTTGTGCATTGTAACACGCTCTTGCTTTTACCGTTTCAGCCTTCGAAAGCATGTATTTAGGACATTTAGTCTGCTGCTTGATTTGTTTTAGTGGCACCAAAAAGACCAGCAGGGCAGACTAAATTTAGTGCATAACTTTCAGCCCAGCAATGATAAAGACCACAACCCAAATTAGGTTGTCAAAATGGCTGCTTTTTGTGTGATTCAGGATAAAACCAGACGTTCTCCTCACTGCTGTAAAGACGTAAACAAATGTTGAAATGCGTGGAGTTAGGGCTAYGAGGTTGCATCGTTTTATCATCAACACACTGTCGTAAATATTAAGTGGTTTTATTTCTTCCTCTCCTCCTCTAGAAACCTGCAGAAGCTGAGTCTGTACGGAGACACGTTCATCCTTCAGCAGGAGGGACTGTTGGACAGCTCGAACCTGCATCGCATTCACCAGGGGGACAAAAAGATCAATGAGTAMGAAAACCTGAAAGTTTTGTTTGGGTGAAATGAAAGGAGTTGGTTTATATTTTGTTTCATAAAATGTAGAAAAGATTTCCAGATTTACAGTTGCTTCTATCTGCTGCACAGTGTTTTCTATTTAACGCCATTTAAGATCTGTTATGACTAAATGACATACAGATCTGAAAAAAGTGACCTTTTAAAGGCTTCTGAGGGATATTTTACATGAAATACTGTCCAGTTGAGTGTGATGAGGAGGGCTATCGATTGAAATTTTCCAAATTGATTTGATTCAATTCACAGGAGTTCGATTCGATTCATGATTCAGTTTGATTGATGTTTAAATTAGTTAAAGCTATCGCACAGTAACACATAACGAGTGCAAATCTTTGCAAACAAAAGTTGTCATGGCCTCTGATATCTTTAAGTTCAGCTGAGAATCAGTTGTAACGTTAGTGATTCCTTTTGTTTAGTTTGTTTTGATCCAAACAACTTGTTGTCGGGAGCTAACATTAGCGCCGAACGTCAACCGGATGTAAACCTACGGCAAGCCAGGAGTGACACAACATGGAAACGCGCAGCTTTATCGCACACAACACCCATGGGGGGGAAAAAATCGATCACATGACTTATGAATCGATTTTGCCAAATTTGAATGAAAATTGATCCAGATCGATTAAATCAATTTTTTTTAACTCAGCCACAACATGTTGGCTCTTTTATTTACTTGAGCCAGAGTGTGAATTTTATTTTTTAAAAAGCAAGATCTCAGAAAACGTCTTTACGAACRAACCCAAGACGACAGTTTTTCTTCCTAAACTGTCCAGATGTTTTTATTTTTCTGTCCTTGTGAAGGTCTGAATAAATTTCAGTGAGCAGCAGTTAATTCTCTTCYTCTGCGTGTTGAACAGAATCCAGCAGTTGTTCATGGAGCTGCTCTCCAACAGCAGGCAGCTGAGGTGGCTGTCCAGCAGCTTCATGCTGGGTCTGGTGACTCCCTGCTCCTTGGCTTGCCTGTCGAATCAATCCGCCGAAACCCTGCAGCACCTCAGTTTACTGGACCATCAGCTAGGTTTGTGTTTGTCACTACATGATCAAAACGGAGCTCGTTTGCTGGTGTTTTGTTTTTGTTTGGGTTTTTTTGCTGTGCTGATTTGCTTCCTCGCTCCTCTCAGGTCCCCTCATCTCACCGTCGGAACTGGACCGACTCTCCAACATTCACTCGCTGGCTTTGGATTTCTCTGACTTCACGTCCGAGCTTTGCGGTTTGCTGGCGTCTCCTCGGCGAGCTCCGCTCCACCGCCTTGCCCTGCTGCTCAACGGCGCCGCCCTTGAGTTCAAACCGCTGGAGGGGACCGCTACGGAGGAGGACTGGAAGGCGCTGGTAATGCGAAAAATCAACAGTTTTGGCTTCACCCGCAGGAGGACAAACCTAAACTCTACGCCTGTGTTCTAAGGGTGCAACGATACAAAAAATTCACTGTTCGGTTCGATATTTTTGTCTCACGGTTCGATATTTTTTCAATACAAAAAAGAGAAATGTTCACGCCCTTTTTAACTTGTAATTTATTAAAATTATTTATGAACATTTGTTTAACCTCAAAACTCCAGTTTTTAAATTAAATGTTGCTGAAACAGCCAGTGTCTCAGTGGATCTGCGCTCGACAGTGCAGCCTAGGTGGAGTAGTCGAACACAGATCCTCTGATCCTTCAACACAGAGCATCTTCAGAAGACAAGCTGATAAAATAAAAAATCTGTATTGTTCCATACATATAGTGTGTATTGAACCTAAAGCACTGTATTGAACGGTTCCATACCCCTACTGTGTTCGTAACATTTATCCGATTCCTCCCAGGTCCGTGTGAGCGCCAACCTGCGAGTCTACATCATGGCTCTGGAGGTGGACAGCTCTGAGCTCTTCAGGGTCTTAAAGCCCAGCCTTCCCCTAGAACGGCTTCACCTGGACAGCTACAGCACGCTAGTCAGCGACGCCACTCTGGAGCTCATTTCTCAGCAGTACAACAAAACGCTGACTCACTTCCTGCTCCTGAGGGATGGCCCCGACTTCCCCGACCTCAGCGTCAACCGCAACGAGGACCCCCTGGTTCTGCTGGCGTGGAGGTGTACTCAGCTGGCTGTTCTGGTAATACATGGTGAGTTTTAGGTCTGTTTTTTTAATAAATTATTAATAAATACCAAATGAAATGCCCCAAGTTTCCATTTTTAAAGTGCGATGGTTTCAGTGAGTCCAGCTGCCTGGTTCCTGTCTGCAGGTTACACCGTGTGGTCCCACAACCTGGTGGCCATCTCTAGGCTCCGCGGCTCCAGCCTCCGCGTCCTGACCGTCTCAGAGGAGAGCATCGACTTCGACCCGGACCAGTCCCTGTACGTGGAGGGAGACCCGGTCCACAACCTGGTGAAGGAGGTTTCTCTGGGCCTCAGCCGTGTCTGGCACCCGTGCTTGGACTCCAGCGGGGTTCTGTCGGAGCCCACCCAACACTTCCACCGCGAGCTGCAGGCCTTCTGCATGGGGATGTAGGCAAGGGGCGGCGGAACCGAACCGACACATCACAGTTGAAACCGTGCCCAGACCAGACCAGACCAACCGAGCTCAGGTCAAATCAAACCCTAAAATCCAAACAGACCAGATCTAAAAACCTTTTTGTTGTTGTTTTAGCACACAATCAAGTACCGTGTGTTCGTCATTACATCACAGAATCAGCTTTCCATGATTTTAAATACACCTTTGAACGGGAGAGAAATAATTGAATAAAGCAACTTTTTTTAGTTAGAAAAAAATGCTGATTTGTGATCTGATTGAAAAAACTAAGATTTTGACTCGCCTGCTTCAACAAGTCGTGCTCACTTGACCTGGTCTGGTCTTTTGGACCGGTCTTCAGCACTCTCTTCATCACCTTAATAACCTTCAGAGCCTCTGTATGATGTAACTTTGATTTGTTTTCTGTATTGATCCCCGCTCCCCCTTTTTTTTTCCTTTTTCTTTTTTGATTGTTTTCCACGTCTCCCTGCTCTTGTGTGTTATCTTTTTATTTCCTGTGTGGCAGTTACCGTGCCCGTAAAGGCTTCGTGTGGATTTAAATCCAGTTTTATCATCCTCCTGCTCGCAGCTGGAACGGGACATGCGGTTTAGTGATAGAGGTGAAGGTTGGAGCGTGTAAATCAACAACTTCCTGAGCAGAGTTTGTTGCTACGAAAGGGGATTTTTTTGCACTTGCTCCCTAACCTGGTCAACGGGGTGGGAATGTGGCAAGCTGTGGCTAATCAGTCCCGGTGATTTAGCAGCAGGATTGCGTAAACAAAAAAAAGTGGCGTTTTTTTTAAGGGTCGAAATGTTTTATTGTTGACCTTGAGCACCCTTCTAATGGTGTTGTGGAGATTATTGTTACAGCCAACACACTTCCCACACTGCTCAGTTACTGATGAACCTGGATTGTCTGACCCAGTCTCTGAGTCAGGCTAAAAAAGAAAAACTAAAGAACACAACATTCATTTGTTCTGTTTTGATCTGTAGTACACTGGTTGTAAATCTCTACTCTCCTTTGTCTCAGTATTCTGGATTATTCCATCCATATTTCAGATTCAGAGCCCTGTCCTTCAGCTCGTCTGTTACGTATTGTAATTTTAATTACTTGCTGACCTTGAAGCGTCAGAAGGGCTCTGATATCTCACATCGTTCTAGAAGGAGACAGCTGCTTTCGTTTTGTTTTGTTTATGCCATGTATTTATTTTAGAGAAGTCTTTGTACTTTTCCTCCAAGTTCTTGACGAGATTGTGCTAAAACAACAGCAGTATTCCGTAGGCGCAGCTCTCTCAGGAGGCAGACATACCAGCAGTACTGTAAAGGAACCAGTTTCTCATTCAATAACATTTCAAGATTAAGGGCAGTGAAATGGAACGGATACACTGAATGTAACGACTCACACGTACCTGTGAGCTTTGTGTTTTGTTTTGTTTTTTTTTTTTCATTGTGTGCTTACTTAATAGCAGTATTTGTCACAGACGTTTGGCAGACGCACATCCTGCGGGGGGCTGCTGAATTGTTAAATATTTGCGTTTGAACGTTTGCGCCGCTCACAGCCAAACACTGCTTTTTTTATGTCTTTGGCACGTTTAGCACAATAAGGTTTCAGGATGTGCAGCTCGTTTTTGTGGCTGAAAGTTTCTCTGACACCTCAGGAAGGCTTGTAACATCGCTCTGATCAGATTGGTGATGTTGACGAGTAGGACGTGCGAAACAATCAGTTTTTTTCCCTCTTAAGTCACAGTTGCCTTGCTAACACCCCCAGTCTTTTCAGATAGAGTTGTTCTTGTTGTTGTAGATGTTGTTTCTCTTGCCATCTTAAAAAAAAATACCCTCACTTTGCTTTGATTTAGAGGGTCAGCAAACCTAATCATACATTTGTTTTCAAAGATTAAGGTTGATAAAGGCTAAAGAATGGCAAGACCTAGCTGCTCGTTGCACATGTTTGTGTCTATGCTGTCGATATGTGACCTGCTGGGCCTAAAAAAAAGTCTGAGCTGAAGGGATCTGTCAGACCCAGGTGGTATTGTTTTTTTGATACTCGTTCACAAAGTGCTAACGTGTTCACGCATGTTTAGACCAAACGGCTTGAGTTGGTGGCAGACGTGAGCGTCGCTAGATGCTAACTGAGCCCAGCGTGCTAACAGATGGTGCTCCCATGGAAATGCTGTGTTCTGGTGTCTTCTGAAGATATTTTTTAAAGGTTTTACCGAGAAAACGAACGTTAAGATGAGCATCATCAGAATCGCCCAGTAGAGTCAGCTCAGGCATTGTTATTAAAACACAGGTTGTAGAAAATGGAGGTCCATGTGAGTTTACAAGGCTGACCTGCAGTTGTTATTTTTTCTCCTGATATGGAACTGTTGTCAGCCAGCACTTTACTGGCTTCAGAATGAGTCGGGCCTTGTGATGGGCCTGTGGTTACCAAATGTTTGCTCTCAAGTTTAAAGGACCTGGATGGTTTTGCCATGATAATCTGTGAAGTCCTTGGTTTATATCTCAGGATTATGCACTTTGGTACCAAGAGTTTCTTCGAAAGGCGCGCTGTGGCTGTTAAGAGCGTCGCACACTCGAACACCTGCACAGGATGGAAATGCCAACATATTTTCAAAACAAAAGCTGTTTTTTGTGTTCTCTTCCATCCCTTTTTTTAAAAAGAAAGAAAGATCCCCCATTTGTCTTTTTTATGCGTGTCATTGGAAGTKTTGGAAGGTCACTGTGTTCTGATTCCAGCTAAGACACAGAAAGCTCAACTTTTTTTATTGGAATGTAAAGTCGAAGTGGGTCTGAGCTAGTAAACATTTTATTTATTTTTCCAACTGATTTTAGAAAGCTGCTTTTCTCATCTGTTTTCTACTCTCAGATCAGACATTTGGAGAGTTAAACTCGGTCCTTGTGGTTTGTTTTGTTTTTACCAGCTGTGCTCAGCAAGGAAGACGTTTTAGTTACCCACTCCAACATTGTACAAAACATTATTCTGCTTGTAAGTTTCCTCTTTAGACATCTAGAAAAACTTATTTTTGACCTGATGGCTCATTGACAGACCACGATAAAGTGAATTTAATGATGAATTGTGATAATAGACGAGTCTTTGGAAACATTTATGTGACGAAGCTGTAAAAAAAAACATTAAAAATCCAACATTTAAGAGAAAAGATCCACAGCTCTATCTTTTAATGCTTAAATTCCTTAAAATGAAATCCTTGTTTAAAAAAAAAAAGATCAGAGGAAAATATTTCCCATGTGTTGGTGACAAAAGGTCAATTTGGAACCATGTGAAAGTTTATAAAGTCTCACCGCTTTTTAAACTTCAGCTTTAAGTCGGCGCTTTCCTGTTCGGTGTTGCTGATGTTCGTTCAGTTGAAATAAGCAGCGTCGAGTTCCTGTGGCTGCGTTTTTCTGCACCAGTGGTTTAACTTCTCTTTGAGTGTGCTTGGCTTCTTTTTTTCGTGTGTGCAGTAAAGAATAAGATGTGAACAAGCTGTCAGTCACGGAGCTCTCGTACATTTCACACACACACACACACACACACACACACACCTGAGACAATGCATGTGTGCACATTTGACAGGAAGTGAGGTTGCTCAGCCGTGGAGTCGTATCACTTCTGCCGCTGCGTGAATCGGGAACAGGAATAGTTCGCACTCAGGGTAYGGATGGTTTTCTCAAAGGAGGAGGTTGGACAGCAACAATAGCTCAGGCCCTTTAGCTCACTCGTGTGGATCTGTTCTCCTCCTTTGACGTGTTTTGAAGCTGCCAAAGATCACAGGTCTCTCTGAAGTGCCCCGTCGATAAACAGACTATTGTTTCATCCTCGACACCCTTGTCTCTGTTACTTTGTGATCTGACATTTCCCGCCTTTTTTATCTCACCGAACACCTCATATGTTCTGTCTGTGCTGTACTTCAAACCTTTCTGCTCTTGGAACCTGTTAACAGTCTTGTCTTGAGGTTGTAATGAACCAAACCAAAGCAGACCTGTGAGAAAAGCAGTTTTCTGTCAGCAGCGGTTTGTAGACATGAAAGGTTTTCGGGTGGCGTTACTGGACACCTCTCTCCGGTAGACAAAGGGGTTAGGAACATCGTTGCACATCTTAAAACAGTTGTTACCTCTCAACGGCTCTCAGGGTGCATTGTTGCCGAGACATCGTTATTCAAAGCCAGATTTGTCGAGTTGAGCACGGGCGTGTAGAGTGGCCAGGGCTCGGAGAGCTCACCGTCGTATTCCTTTCGCCCCCCGTTCTGACCGCCACGTTTCACTGTGAGGAGCGAGCGGAGGTAAAAGAAAAGCACAACCAGTTGGGTTCGATTTGCCGAACGCTCCTACGGATGCTTCCAAGTGTTTCTCTGTTTCTGATGGCAGCTCACGGCCGGGAGAAACCTCCTGGGTTCCTGGGTTTTCAAGCTGCACAGTCGTTTCGCTGCTATGRGGAGCACATTCCACGTGAACGGGAGAGGATTTCTGGTCGTCTCTTTAGCAAACTACAAGACTATGATGTGTGAGCAACGGCGAATCTCTATAAACTGATATTTTGTTTGTTTTTTTACTTTAAATTATTTGTTTTTGAAAGAATCATGCTGATGAGTCACATCAGATTAGCAGCTGGTCTGAGCAAACTATTCAGAAGTGATCGTAGCAACTGTTTCTGTGTGTTTCTGCGACGCCGTGCGTCCGATCACCTCTAAGGCTCAAAATGCAACAACTGTTGTGACTGCAGTTGACATGAAGGCCGTTGAATTGGTTGTCTTCATGTTCTAAACCCCTCTGGCAATTAAAGATCTTCACATTACAACAGGAGGAAGCTGGATATTTATAGGCTAAACATAAGAAGGTCTTACCATTCTTGCACTGAGGTCGAGCTGGACTGATTTACGCAGCACAAGCAGACAGATGTTTAACTGTGATATACGTTGTTAGCGGTGAGATTTATAGAGCTTGCTATGAAAAATGGTTAAACGGCTGCACAGATCAGGATGGGCGCAGGCTCTTTGCTGGAGGGGTGTTTCCAGCCGGCTCGTTYTGCCCTGTTTGAGTTTTTTTGTTGTGTTTTTCATGAAATGCTCCTGAAACGTCAGAGCTGGCCTCTTAATTCACTCCATCTGAAACAGTTGTGTTGAAACTGTTGTAATCACAGAACTGTAAGCTGGGTTCTGATGCCTGACAGCCAATTCTGAACCTATCGAGTGTGTGTTTTCTTTAGAACCAAAGTTGCAGAYCCTATCAGATCTGCGTCAGCGTAAAACACACATTCAAAGACACAACTACAGGTTGCTAGTTGCCAACTCCATGCCAACTTTGTAATATTGATGCTCAGGATATTTGCTTTGTTGTTGGAACTAAAAGTAGCTGTTGAAAGAGTAGTAACGTGGTTCTGGGCGTTTTTGATTTGTTTTGTTTCTGAAACAGTAGATCGTATCAGAGTCTTCATCACAGATTAGTTTTGTCCCTAAACGCTACGACAATAGACCACCATGCAGGACTGACCAACCCTCACAGAGAAATGTGAGAAATGTTGACGAACATCCCGGTGTGTTTTAAAGACACGGACGACCAATGCTTTACAATTAGCGATGTGTAGGAGGAGGCTTTCAGTGAAACAGTTGGGCTCTTAGCAGGAAGTTTGGATTCTCCAGTCTTCAGGACCAGTCAGAGCTGAGGATGATGAGCAAAGCTTTACCTGCTACTACCTAGCTCTACAAAGTGACACTGGTAAAAAAGGAGAAAAATAGCCTGGCCAGTTGCTTTGGATGCATGCAGAGATTTGTGAAAYGCCCGGGTTTGTCAAGGAGCTGATAAATATTCACACTCAGTGAGGCAGCCAGATCTCAGATACTGTGGCTGGGACGTTCCTGGCTGCTGAACAAAGTCTTTCTTGTCAAGTCTGGAGAGCCAAACCTCCTAATTAACCAGGCAGGCAGGCCTGCTGCCCAGTCCAGCCTCACAACTATGCAAGAAGAATGCATATAATCCAAACTTTGTTTTTTTTTTTCGCCTTTCTTTCCTGTCTGTCTCTCAATGTCACAGAGTAGAAATGAAGATAATAAGAACTTGCAGTGACAATACTTGGCCTTACGATGATTTGTGAGATCTTGAATCGTTTCGTCTTGAGATCTTTTGATTCTGGTCAGCCAGCCCAGCGGCAGCAGTGGTGACGGCAGGCTCACTCTTGGTCTCTGTGAGACTGGCTAGACGGCCCCAGTTTTATCGTGGTACGAATGTTGTGCATTTGTTTAAAATCAGGACAGTTTGCAATAACAGCAGTCTTACTAGTGGCCACAAAGGGGCAAAAGCAGTGCTGACAGCGCCCGGCTGCGTCTTTAGAAAACCACAGAGGAAGAAATATAAACTATATAAATAGATATATATATAAATATATATAGATAAACTCACACAGTGCATATTTGTATAGGTATCAACAATGCATTACCGTGTTATACTATTATGCAACACTTGTCCAGGTTCAGTTTATGAACATGAAGTATATTATAAAATCACACAGACTTTGTAGAAGTTATGTTATTGTGAGTTTTTCTGTTGTTGTTGTTTTGAGTTTCTTTTGTTTTTGCAGAAGTGGTTTTAACCATCTACGATGTTGAATGTTCCGAGTGTAAAGCTCCTGTGTGACTGTGTTTGCTAAAGTACGCGCTGGGTTTTTATCTTCCTATGTGTAAAGCCAGACCACAGCCAAAACACAGCTGGACAGACATATTTCAAATACACCTGCAGGTTTACCAATCCACTCTGCGTAGACCTGCGGGCTTTTAAAGGTCACTCTACACACTGATTCACCTGAATTCCATCTGCAGACAGGCTGAGGCGTGGTTCCAAATTTCAACAGCATGAATCATAAGACCAAGCAAAGCAGAACCACAACAATGTCCTTAGAAACAAACTATTAGGTTTACATTTTAAAACATCTTTATAATCTCTCCAGCTGTTTTTTGGAGTAGTCTACAGGGAAAGAGCTCTCTCTTATCTAAGAGGACAGATTTTAATGAAAATTTGTGTCGATTCACTGTCCTGTTGTAGAGACTTAGATGCCACATTGGAAACCTCCACCAAAAACCTCTGGATTGACATGAATGGAATACACTCGATAGGCCAACCTGCCGAATGTTGATTTGACTTGATGTTGAATGAATGCTTCCTTTTCTTTTAGCCAGTGAATAAAAACAATAGAAAGTCATCTGCTTGCATTGTCTCGTTCTTTCTTATTCTTTTCTCTTGGTTTCAAGTAAAAGTTTGGAAATACTTGGAAACAGTCCAAACACACAGGTAGTCGTCATTAATGAATCACTGTTTTTTGTTATAACTGGGATGGAGCGATTTGTATTTCATCAAAACAATTCTCTTTCATATCAAAGCTAAACAAAGAGGTGGTATTTTCTGGTTGTCTTAAAGTGCACCAAACAGCAGCTGAGCTTTCACACAGGAAACAGGAACTACTTCTGTTTGTTTGAAAAACACAAATGAAAACTTGTGAGGGGAGGTTTCGGTTCACTAACTTCTCAGAAAAAAGTGTGTGCTGGCTGAGAAGTTGAACAGTAAATACACCAAAGCAATACCTAAGAGATAATTACTGATGAAGAATAAAGAGGTAATTGGTTAAAAAATAACATATTTTCTAGGGAGATGGAATTTGGTTTGAATAAATTTTAAACATATTTTTAAAGGGGGGATAACTGTTTCTATATGAACCCATAGGTGGCGCTCAAACGTTTTATCTGCTGCTGTTCACATTATGTGACCGAAGAAGAAGACGAGACATGGAGGCGTGTCGCTCCCAAAGTCTGTGCTGATTGGTCAAGCACATACACGAAACGTGATTGGTCCGATCCAAGAGGAACGTAAAACGTTAAAGCTAGAAGGAGAAGAGCACGTGACCCGTGCTAACTAGCAAGATGGCGGTGGCAGTGCGGAGTTTGCAAGATCAGCTCGAAAAGGCCAAAGAAAGCTTAAAAAATGTGGATGATAATATTCGCAAACTTACTGGACGAGATCCAAATGATACCAGGTAAAAATGTACAAAAATCAACTTTCAAATTGTGGTGCATTTCTACATTTGTTTTCTAACGAGGCTTGCTTGAAGAAACGTGCTAATGTAGCATGAGGTGGCTAACAGCCAGGCGGGCCGCTCCATGTTGTAATATTCATCGCATGTTTACTGATCGTGATATAACCAAACAAACAGTTATAAGAAATGGTAAATCTCAATGTGACCCATAAAATCTTAACAAGACTAGTCAGCTGTGTTTAGGCCCGACAGGCATTGTCCGAGTCCCGTCATTCAATACGAATGAGGCGAAGTCTCGAACTGAATATTTTTTTGCATTTACAGACCGGGCCAGATCCGTCGGCTCAGCGGCCCCATGGCAGCCCTGGGAGGAGGAGGAGGAGGAGGAGGTAGAGGCAGAGGAATAAATTTGCTCAGGTAATCCAGAGACACCTTAGGCCCTACAGCACCATATAAATAACTCAGCCATTTGTTGTTACATTGTCTTTTAATGTCAAATTACCCCTCAAATAAGTTTTCTTCAACTACACAAATCTTTAGTTTTATCATGGTGTTTATTGATAGTTTTTACGTTTAATGTTTCTAAACTGAACTTGTCCAGAGCACATTCTCAGTTGGAGATTTTATAGTTTTCAAAAACGACATTTGATGCATTTGCACCTCCATGTTTAATAAGAAATGATGTATACCTTCATATCTTTTCTATGTAATCACAGATGTACAATAATCATTAAAGCTCTTTCCAGTCGTTGTGTAATTTTAAATATTATCCAGACCCTTTTGTATTTGCTGCTGGTGGCTTCTTGGCTGAAGAAGCTGGCTGCAGGAAGAAATAAATGACACGCATGACAAAAAGATACCAAAGTGCACTAACACAATTTTAGGTTTGTTTTTAAATGGCAACCCTGATTCTATTATAATCTTTTGTCACATTTATCAGGCGTAGTCTCTCAGATATGGGGAGCGGCGGCCCACCTGCCAAGCAGAGGGACATTGAAGGAGCCCTGCTGAGGTGAGATTCTGCCTTTTATTTTGGAGGGGTACTGRTGTTCAAGCAGGAGTGTTTAAATTGAGATAGAAAGAGTTTTCATTTAGTTTCATCCTTCCAAAGATTAAAGCCCTTGGATTTATTTATTTTTCTGACTAAGAAGCAGATAATGTTTTTGATGTTTGTATCTCTTTATTATAATATAATACTTTAATGTTTTATCTTTTTGCAGGCTGGCAGGAGATCAGAGGGCCAGGAGAGACGTACGTCACGACAGCGACGCTGAGGATGATGACGATGTCAAAAAGGTTAGAGAACTTTGTGGCGGTTGTACTTTTCCTATATCAGCATTTCAAATAATTCCTTTAATTACTTACATTATCTGTCTTTGTCACTTTTGGGATGTTTTTAAATTAACCACTTTATTACCTTTTTATCTTTTTTTCAGCCAGCGTTGCAGTCGTCCGTTGTAGCTACCTCCAAGGAGAGAACACGTCGAGATCTCATCCAGGATCAAACTATGGATGAAAAAGGCAAACAAAGGTAGGCCAACACAAGCACTGAATTATATCCAGAGTTTGAGTTGGTCCATAAATGACACATCTGTAAAATAAAGATTAATGTGTTTGCTTTTTGTCAGGAATCGACGCATGTTTGGTTTGCTGATGGGGACGCTGCAGAAATTTAAACAGGAGTCAAATGTCTCTTCAGAGAAGGTGAGAATTGTGTGTATTTTACATATTGTTAGCCTGAAATGTAAATATTCAGTAAATATTGGTTTAATGCGTGATTATCATCCATTTTCTGCAGTGTTGTATAAAGTACCACAAAGTGATACTTGAGTAAAAGTACAAGTATCTTACCAAAATTTACTTTGGTAAAAGTTAAAGTCTCCTTTAGGAATATTGCTTGAGTAAAAGTCTAAAAGTACCTGATATTTTTTGTACTTAAATATTAAAAGTAAAATCATTTATTTAAAATGAGCAGTTAGATTTTCTGTAAGGACGTTTATTAGGTGAACTCCCAAAAGAAGTGCAGAAAGGACTATATCGTATTAAAATAATTGATGTTAAATTTAGGATGCACTGGTCCAGCTGTTTCAGTTTATATACATATATCAAGGCTGCACAAAGCTTTTTCCCCAAAATGAAAATCTATCTGAGGGCTGCGGCCAAATGCAAAATAATTCATGAAATACAAATACTTTTTATGTACGGTATTTTTTTATTTTAATGATTATGTCCTGCTGGAGTGTGACATGATTTGTTTGTGTACAAACTAATACAATATCAGAGTTTTATATATTTATACTTCTCATTCAACCACAATTAAATTCATTCTATCTAGGAGGCACAGTTTATATGGATAGTATTTATTTAATACAATAACAAGCTGGAATTAAAACAAGCAAAATGAAATAAAAGTAACAACTTTCTACTTGCCCATTTTTTAAAAAGTAAGGAGTAGAAAGTAGGTTGAAAAATTATTACTCAAGTAAAATACAGATACCCAAAAATTCAACTTAAGTACAGTAAAGTATTCGTACTTGGTTACTTTACAACTCTGATTCTCTGTGCAGTTAAAGCGGCGTTCAGAGATCGAGCAGAAGCTCGAGGTTCAAGCTGAGGCTGAGAGGAAGAAGGTGGAGAATGAAAAGAAAGAGCTGTTCGAAGAGAGGAGAGCCAAGCAGACAGAGCTGAGGCTGCTGGAACAGAAAGTGGAACTAGCTCAGCTGGTAAGAAAACATCATTCAGCAGTCTTTATTCTATAGCTTCAGTATTAAACACTCTGAATGTTTTTATTAAATGTTTACAATAGTTTTTTCTTGTTGTATTAAATAATATATGTTCCACCTTTTCTCTCACACCACAGCAAGAGGAGTGGACCTGCCACAATAACCACTTACTAAAATATATTCGCACAAAGACAAAACCTCACATCTTCTACCGGCCTAGAAAAATGTGCTCCGCAACACAGAAACTCCTCGAGGAATCCACCAAGAAGCTAAATGGTTGGTTAAGTTACAGATTTAGAATAAAACTGATCTCTTGCAGTAAAGGAACATTAGATGTGTATTAGTAGCCGGTCCCTGTATTCGATAATTTGTGTATTTTCTTTCCGTGTTTTCCTCGTCAGCTGTGTTTGAGGAGAGGCGCGAGGCGTTCGCAGAACACCTCAGCAAGATGGAGCTGCGTCCGCGGCGGCAGCTGAACCGTGACCAGGACAGCAGCGCGCTCTCAAGGACGGACCACCCAGCGGAGGGTAAGCCAGCAGGTCAGGCAGACAAGCGAACAGGTAAAAGAGGCCATGCAGGGGTGGAGCAACATGAGGAGGAAGATGAGGACGAGGAGGAGGAAAAAGAGGAGGAGAACAGAAAGGAGACGGAGCAGGGAGGAGATGGGGAGGAAGGGGAGGAAGGTGAGGACGCATTGAAGAAGATAGAGGAGGAGGAGGAGGAAGGGATGGAGGTGAGTGAGGAGGGGAAGAAAGACGAGGAGAAGGCAGAGAAGAAGGCGAGTCCAGAGTCAGAGGAGATGGAGGTAGAGAAGGCAGAAAAGGAGGATAAGGTAGAGGAGAAGGCAGAAAAGGTGGATGAGGTAGAGAAGGCAGAAAAGGAGGATGAGGGGAAAGAGAGAGAGGTAGACACAGTCAGTCAGCAGGGGCCCGCAGAGCCTCAAGATGTAACGACTCCGGACCCCCAGAAACCTGAAGCAGCTCTCAGCAACCAGGAGTCAGCAAACAATGATCTGGCCCAAGCCAGCACCCCCACTGCAACAGAACCAGTGCAGTCCCCAGTGGTAGAGGGGGCTTCTCCAAGCCCAGAACTTCCAGCAGCCTCCGCCGCTCCTGCACAGGTTTCCCCCCTTCCTGCACAGGATTCCACTGTTCCTGCCCAGGATTCCCCCCATCCTGTCCCGAGTCCCACACATGAGAAGCAACTGGTGGAGGTCAAATCTGTGGAGGAGGCCCCACAAATGCTCCCCGACTCCCAGGAGACCCCCGCAACGACTCCTGCTAAGGAGGATGAGGAGAGAGGCAGGGGGAGGAAGGAGAAGGAAGAGCGGAAGCGCCACAGTCGCAGCAACAGCTCCTCCTCTTCCTCGTCCGGATCCTCCTCCAGCAGCAGTTCTTCGTCCTCCTCCGGATCCAGCCGCTCCTCGTCCTCGTCCTCCTCATCCTCGTCGTCCAGCAGCCGCAGCCGAGACGGCGGCAAGCGAAAGAGGCGGCCGTCGGACCGAAGCAGAGACAAGAAGAAGGAAGACGAAAGAAGTCGTCACAAGGGAGGAGGAGGGAGGGATTCAAAGAGGAGGAACGAGGAAGGCAAGGGCAGGTCCTCCCGAAGCGATAGGGAGCAGAAAGATAGAGACAGGAAGGACAAGAGACGCTGAAGTGATTGAGCTTCAGTAAAAACAGCAGTTTACTTTGACGTGAGATGACTGCTTTTAAACATTTCTTTAAAACACTGCATGTCTTTTTTTTTTATCCTTGGATGTTTTAATGAAACAGACCTCTTGTCAAATTTTGTTGGTCACTAGTCAAACTGCATAGAGATGTCTTTTTTTTTGTAAGTGCCATCTTATGTGATTTTCTAATTAATGTCTCTAGTAAACGGGTCAGATTGGAGAACCAATATTCTGGTATTTGGGGTTGAACAAGAACTGTTAGAAGATGCTGAAGCTTGGATGTTGAGTTTTGGTAAAACTTTTCAGATACAGTACTTTTCTTGTGCTTCATGTCATTGTGACAATATTAATTCTTACCAATTTCAACAATTTGATCAATGTCAAGTGTAATTAGTTCAACTGTTTTTTTTTTCTACACTGTAATCTACTTTAAATAAAGTTGAAGTTTTGGCATAAATGTTTGATCACTCCCTTTTTTAGTGGGTGTATTTTCAGGGTTTCCGCAGATCCTTAAGTCTTAAAAGGCATTGAATTTATCAATCTAAAGTTAAGACCTTAATTAGCCTTAAAATGTCTTAAATCATTATCTTTCAGAGGTCTTAAAAATGTTAACACATTATAAGTTTGATTGTAATTTGTCTCAAATATTAAAATAATTGGTAACATTTCTTTTAAAAAAAACGAAATGCTTCTAATAATATTTGTTTTGTGTTAGAATAAACATTTGGATAAAAGTGACGCTGTGGGTTTTTTTTTTTTTTCCATTTCTGTTTATTGTGAAGTTGGTCTTAAATTTAATTTCAAGTGGCATTAAAGAGTTCTTAAATTTACCTTGCCTTAAGCTGTAGGAATCCTGATTTTAAGAGTTTTCAACAAACAAAACAGTTGAAATTAATCAAATATATTTATCTAATTGGAAAAACATTTATTTGAACCGATTTGAGTAATGAGGTTTTTGTTCCACTTGTTTGCAGTCTGTAATTATGATTTGCTGTGATAAAATGTCCAGACATTACTGTAGAAATCCCAATTTTAATTCAAAATTATATTCATACAAAAAACACTTTAAAAAGTTACAATTATTTCACTGCTTTAACGTTCTCCGGCTGTATCGTAGGCTCTTACTCAAAAAAAAAACTATTTACTTTTGCAGAAGTCTTGCTCMTGGTTGAGTCTGTTTGGGTTCGCTCTGTTCTGCAACATTAATATTAACATCGGTGTTTATCAGCCACTGAGCAGTTCAGCTTCCTGTTCATTAATCCTGGTCTGCCAGATCAGTCTGTTCAAAGTACCTGCAAGATAAAGAGTTAGTGAGCCTCATCATATTTTTATTTTATCAAATTAAATTAGGCTGCAGCATTTTATGCCATAAATCCCTGTTTCTCTTTGCACTGACTGCATATAGCTGCATGGATGATGTAATCTTTTCACCTGGCCACCAGGCAGATGAGTAGGTTGAGGGCGGGCAGCTTTTCATCCTCCTGACTGTCCTGCAAAACCAATAGATGTTCAATAAAATACAAGTCAAAATCTGTCAGGAAAATAAAGTTTCACTTACAAACAGAGCAGGGACTGAATATTGAATATGTTTTATCAGATTTCCATGTGAAAACTGGTAGTTGTGATTCTACAGCCTAAAACTGACGGATCGTACCAGTGTGCTGCGGAGCTGTGCACATCTCCTGGCCAGCTGTCGGATGGAGGAGTGGGCTTCAGGAAGCAAAGGTTTCTCCAAACAGGCCAACAAAGCATACAACCAACAACCCTGTAGCAGGAGGAAATGAAAATAAGATTAAAACTTACTGTATATATTCACCAAAAACAAATAATAAATCAATGAAGGAAATGATCACCGTTTTGTGCTGAGTTCCCAGAAAATTATGTGCCTTTTTTTCCTACCCTACAAAATATTCTAATCTTAAGCCACTGACTTAATTTAAATGTTTATTCATTTCATTTAAAAACAAAACAAATTCACATACAAAAAATACTAATAAAATAAAATGAAAGTTTTCAGAAAGAAAAAAAATCTTATCTGCCCCTATTTTCATATANATATATATAAAAGAAGAGAACATTTGCTCTTTAACAACACAGATAAAGGTGTAATAAGTCAACTCACCAACTGCGGAACAAATTCTCGCTCTTCAAACCAGCTTATAAGAATCTCCAACAACATGAGAACTGTGGACTAAAGACAGAAAAATGACCGGAGGATAACTATAAGTGTTAATAAATAAAATCTTGCATCACTTACCTGATTTAGTCTGCTTACTATGCTGAGGAAGGGAGGGAAGCCAATCTAAACAAAGACAAGTTAACATAAAGATTCATCTTTTATGGTCACATTAAATTAGGTAACAGTTATATGGAACATCTACTGTTTCTATACAGACTGCAAAATTATAATTTTAATCTGCTCTGGCTTTATTCTATTTTGTAACAAGTAAAGTTTAAAAGTCTTCCAACGTTCTAGTATTCACTTCAACTTGTGTTTCATTAAAATTCTAAAGAATAGAAACCTTTATTAGTTTTACAATAAATATTTTTAGGACCTTGCTGTAGTCCAATGCTGGCTCTTGATCTGCGTCTTGGTCTGCAAGGTCAGATGAGGCGCCCTGGTAAATCTTCTCCCCTAAACAAAACCTCTTCCAGCCTTCCTCATCTGTTAACTTTGGCTGTAAACGGGGGGGAAAATTAGCATTATGGCTCAAACTTCAACACACGAACAAAAATCAAATTCACCAATATCACTGTGATGTTGCGGTGAGAGATGTGTAACATCTAACCATCTGTACGTTATCATCCAGAGTCTGGCTACTCCAGTGTTTCCTGTTCTTGGTGATGCTCTGAAAAAGCCCAACATACAAGGATTAGGACCACTGTTACAAGCCAATAAAACACATTTAACAAATGACAAACATTAAGTTTGATTAGGAATGGCTGACTATTTTTATCTTACCTGTCTGACATCAGAAAAGCTACTGACTTGCTGCTGTTGCCACCTGAGGCTGGGGGAGAAACCCAGAGGAGCAGCATGGCATCCTGACACCTGGAAACATGGTCCTCTTTTACTTTAGGATCAAAGTCAGAAATAACATAGCAGCACAATTCTGCTCAATTAAATGCTAATTTCAAATGCATAATGTATTGCACAAAATCATTCATTTTCTGATCAAAAATATATTCAGTTTATTCACTCACAGATGCATTAACTGTTTGTTTCTTCTTCAGTTTCTTTGGATCTATTTGAGCGACCACCACCTCTGGACACATTGATGCCTCCAACCTGAAATAAAAATCAAACTCGTGAACCGAACCACTGAGGTAGATCTGGGAAATATACAACTGTGCTGTTATTGGTGGTCAGGATATTATATCGGATCCTCCTGACAGCTGTGACAGTTCAGGAATGAACATACTGGACCTGTCGGAGGTACTCTTGGGGGTTTCTCGGCGTCCCACCGAAGTTCAGGTCTTCACAAGCAGCAGCTCCGCAGTCCAGCGGCAGCAGCCTCGGCATTAACTCCTCCACGTCCGACTTCATGTTTTAAGAGCTAAACTGTGCACGAATAAAACACCCAAACCAGCCCGAAGTGCTCGAGTTTCCTTTAACTACCCATTTGCGTTCACACGGACGCCATCTTGTTAATAAACGCGCGCGATGATGACGTCGCTTCTGTGCGACAGATTTTTGGTGTCGCCCTAGTAACAAACGCCACAGTCAGTCTATAATTTTAAAAGCTCAAAGTCCAAACAATTTTCACACTTTAACCTCCTAACATGTTTGTTTTGATTAATAGTATTCACAGTAAATGTAAACTATAGAATTTGTTGTTTTTCATTAAAATTTTAAAATCTTTGCCTAAAAAGCAGATAGTTTGTGTAATAAGTAGGTCTTGCGTGTTAATGATTATCTGCTTTTTGGCCTGTATCTTATCTGGGCCGTTTCATTTACTATTCAGGTTTCATGACAGCAGCAGCACAGAGGCAATGTCCACTTGCCAGCACAACTGGCTGGAGTTATTTCAACTTTGATATGAATATTTTCTCTTGATTCGCTTTTGCTAAAACACCCAAAATGGATTTTTCGCTGGGTTATAAATTAGTGTGTATGGTGGGAGCAGTTTTTGTGATTTTTCCTTGCTTAAACGTGGGCCTGTTGTCCGACTACAAGATCTGTGGAGATTCTGAGTGTGAAAGTAAGAAAAACATTTTCAATCTTTGAAACGGGATACAGACTGTCACTTTTTATAATCTTTTTTTTCTTTGTTCCCTCACTTTTGTATGTGTAGGTCTAATGAGCCGAGTGCAGGCCGTAAAGGATCACCACGGTAAGGACTGTCGTTTTCTGAGCTTTAGACGTGGAGACACCATTTTTGTATACCACAAACTTACTGGAAAAAGGGAAGACCTCTGGGCAGGCAGTGTATGTATTGAATTTTCATCTTTTTCTTCTTGTTATACTGCTAAAACGATTAAAGAACTAAATGCTGCACATAGTCACTTATCTCAGGTTATTTGTCAAAGAGATAAGTCTTAATTAATGAGTGGCTGTGATAACGTCATGTTGATACCTGTAGCTTTTTGTTGCATGATTGTTAGAACCCAGCTTGGGTACATGTATATCAAATTCCTGTATCGTTATGCCCAGTTATAAACAGACATTTGGATTTTGCTTTGACCCATTTGTCATTTATATTGTCAGCTCTACTTTTATTATTATTTTATCTGCATGTTAGTCTGCCTCGTGTAACTCAGTCTGTCAAAATTTTCAGATTGACAAACAGTTTGGGTACTTCCCAAAGGATGCTGTAAAAGAAGAACAAGTTTATGCAACTACTGAAATAGTAGTGGAGACGCAGGTAAACTTAGTTACAAGACTTAAAAAGTACTTTATCTGTAAAAGAAATGTGTAAAATTATAATGAAAATGTGTTTTTATAGAGCATTTATTACTGTATGCATGTTTTACCTCCAATTATCTTCATTTTTCTGCAGAAGTCTGACTTTTTCTGTATGGATGAGTCTGGATATCCTATCGACACCACTGATCTGGATGCTGATGACGATGAAAACTTACAAACTCAGGAGTCAGAAACCATCCAAATGAACCCAAACGCTCATGACACAAATGCTGCTGGCTCCTCGATGTCCTCTGATGTCTTTACTGAGGTTAAAGCGCAAGAAGCCGAAGAAGAAATCAAAAACCTCAGTGACGCCGCTGAGCCCCACGAGGAAGAAAATGAGGCACCTGCGACTGAGAAAGAACAAGGTGGGTCTCCCTCCTCCTCCTCCTCCTGGCTGGGTTCTTCAGTGACAGGATGGTTAGGTTCTTCTGGCGGTCTGGACGAACTTGCTGGGGAAGACGAAGGGAAAGATACCGGAGCAGATTCTTCACTCACATCTTCTGTAACGGGGTGGCTGGGCTTTGGGCGGGATGGAAAACCAGACGACGTGGAAGAAAACGTTAAACTGGAAGAGGAATCGTACACCTCGACCGTGACAGGGTGGCTCGGCCTCGGAGAGAAAAAAGCTGTGCACGCCGAAGATGAGCAAAACGGAGAACAAGAAACGGAACCTGTGGAGAAATTTTGGAGTAGGAGGATGTCTCTGCACCTGGAAGGCGGTGAGTTACAAGAAGAAGAGACAGAGATGGGGACCTTTGGTTGGTTGGGAGGTGGGCTTTCAAGCAGGCTAGGGTTTGGACAGAACAAACAGGATGCAGGAGATGAAACAAAACTTTTAGGAGACGCTGACAAGCAGCAGGAACAGGAGGCATCTGGTTCTTGGATGGGTATGGGGATTGGGGGCATGTTAGGTTTCGGAAATGATAAAACTGACGATAAAGAAGGTGACATTAAGGACATCGAAAAGGACAAATCCCATGAAGCAGAAAATCTGGATACTGATGAATCACAGGCTTCAATAACAGTAAAGACTGAAACTAGCGAAGAATCACGAGCTGAGGAACCTACAAGTGTCCCATCCACAGAGCCGGTCAGCGCTGACAGCAGTCCCAATATTATAAATGATAACTCTGACACAAGGGAGAGCAATAGCTTAGGTGTTGAAGATGAACTTCAGGTTGATCAGAAAGATGTTTCACCTCAGGCTGCTGCAGAAATGTCCTCCAGGATCAACAGCTTTTCCCAAACAGATGACAACAACAAAACAGAAGACAGATCTGAGGAAATGGCCACGGATAAGAGGCATGACTCAGCAGGAAATGTGGGAGAAGGTGAAACCAGGGAGCCAGTAGTAGATGAAGTTACTGATACGAGTAACGTTAAAGATTTTGTGACACCGTCTGGGAGCAGTCTGGGCCCCGATCACCGTTTTCACGATCGATTTGAAGGTAAAGAGGAAGATGCAAAAGAGCAGACACCCAAAAGAGTTGATGTCACAACCGTAGCACAGAACGTAGAATCTGACGTGGCGGTAAAACACGACTTTAGAGGTGGTGCTCAGAAAGAAGAGCCGTCTGATAACGCAACAAATTCATCTCACAAAGACATGTTCACCACTCGGACTGAAACGTCAGCCGAGGACAGTCAAATCAGCAGTGAGGCAGAGGAAAGCAAAGAGCAAAATCAGTCATCGTCACTTAAGAGAGAYGATGAGTTTATCCCAGATGAGAAAAGTTTGAGACCTTTAGCAGCRGAAACAAACGCCGGCAACTCAACAATCCCAGCTCTAGCTGACGACAATGTAGAAACAAAGATCAGTCATGAAGAGTTGGGACTGGAGGGCAGCTCCCAGGAATTTGAACTCTTTCATTCTGATAATAAAAGTCTGTATGACGTCATCCTAGACAGCAAAATAATCCTCTCAAACATGAATCAGACTCGTGGGTCTCCACAGAGGGAAGAAGAAGTAACAAAAACTCTTAGTGATGCTGAAAGTTTGAAGGATCCAAATAAAGAAACTGGGAGGGAGACAACAAACATCAAAGAAGATGTTTTGAGTGAAAAATCTACTTTGGCTCCTGAAACAGAAACTGAAGAAAGCGAAATCATAGAAGAGGCGGAAAAGACGATAGCAGAGAGGGAAATGAGAGAGAAAGATCAGATTTTAAAGGAAGAGGAGAATGAGGTAAAGAAAGACGAACAGGTGGGGGCAGAGGATAGAAATGAAAATGAGAAAAATAACGAGGAAAATGAAGAGCTAAATGAAGAAAATCAACAGGTAGAGGAGATGAAGGAGGGAGAGAACCAAGAAAATCCAGCCAGACTGGAGGGATTTAAAGAATCTGAGGAGAAAATGGAAGAGGAGAAGGATATCAGGAGGCCAGTGTTAGAAAGCAATAAAAAAGAGACACTGGACGAAGACAGCTCAGCGTCATCGTTCATCGAAACAACAAAAAAACAGCCTGAAAGACAAATGGTGGAGGAGATCGGGGAGGAAAAACAGAATGAAGCAACATCTGAGAAAGTAAAGGATGAAAAGATTGAAGAGGAGGCAGCAGAGAAGCAGCAAACTGGGCATGAAGACGAAGACCAGCTTGAGGGTTTAAATCAGATTTGTTCTGGAGGTAGCAAAGAGGAGGTGGAAGAAGGAGGTGGCTCTGAGGATGGAGATGTAGCTGCTGCATGGATGGCTGAAAACACAACAGAGGTCTGCGATGACTCAAATGATGTGGCTGAGGAGCAAATACTGAAAACCGATGGCACGACATTTGGGAGTGGATCTCACAATGATGGGAATACATTTGACTCTACTGAAAGTCAGATTCAATCGGAACGTGAAGAAGATCCAACCGATCCTGCTGAGGCAGCAGAGAGCAGAGGAACATTTGGTTTGTTCARAGATGCTTTGGGGCTTTTCTCTCAAACAGCCTCCGTGACATCTACAGAGTCTGCAGAGGGTTCTAACACAAACACAGCAGAGCTGTCACAAACACGAGTCTCTGAGCCTGATCTGGACCCCACCACTGATCCAGTCCCCACCTCAGAGTATCCTGAAAACATTCATCCCACTGCTCCCTCAACCACAGAAACACCCACCAATACAAGCCCCCTCACCCAGCCGTACACGCATCTCCTCACCCACATGAGCGCAGGAGAGACGGCTGTTTTGTCAGAGCTGTTTGGACGACACAAGCTGCAGTTTTTAGATTACATTCTGGGTAGTTCAGAGGGCGCGACTGCAGGGGACGATCAGTCCATACTGTCAGATATAGAAAGGCTTCTGGATCACCACAGGGAGAGGCTGGTAGCCCCACAAACGAGGCTCACAGACGCACCACAGGAAGACCAAGAAAAGACCAGAACCCTCTTTGCACTTCTGAAACTGGAAACGTTACTGAAAACAATCAAAGTCACTTTCAGCACAGGAATATCAGATGTCAGTAAACATCAAGGTATTTTCCTCTACGTCACTAAAGCTATCACGGCTGATTTTATTGATATTTCTAAACTAACCAAACCCGTTTGTTTAGGTGTAAATGTGTTTTGTCGTCAGAGTGCATTTACACAGTCTCCTGCTCACATGTAGACAAGCCCAGCTGTGCCACATGTTCAACTCAAGGAGAAGAACAGAAAGACAACCTCAGGGACGAGCAGATGACAGCGGTGAAAGATCAAACAGGCAGCGGTGCAGCAGAGGAAGCATCCCTCCCTTATACACAACCAGGATCACAAAAGAAAGGTATGACTTGAATATTAATCAGCAAGTTTTAAAATCAGTTTGAACTGCAGCTGTGCAAAATACAAAATGTTTTCAACATGATTATATGTGTGACTGTAACTCCAGGGATTATGAAACAGACTTTGGACGTTTGTCTTGGGATGATTGAAAACTCCAAGGACGTCCTCATATGGTTCACTGTGAAGGTAGGTACAGAGAATGTCATTTATTTGACATTGACACTAAATTATTTTAAAAGCTTTAAAAACTCTTAAACAAATACATTTATGTAGATTCACCTGATCACATGAAGTAGATCCTAATGCAATCCTGACTACAGCACAGTGAAATCTGTATTAATGTGATAGTGTCTTGGTCCTTTAAGACATTTACGCCTTGGACAAGTTGATCCGACTCTCCCCCTGGAATCCAGCTTTGCCTTCGTGTCAGTTGTCAGCCTTGCTCTGCTTGACACTGACTGTCCCTCACATTTGAGTTTTTAAGACTCGGAGCCAAGTTGTTTTTTTTATTATTATTATTATTTCAAAGGCCAGGAAATTATCTAGCTTCACATGGAGGAAAGAGAAACCAGAGCGGTGAGTGTAAAGTTTAGAAACTCGGTGGGAACTGAAGTTGTCTAAGTTGTAAATCAAAGCTGGGAACGTATCTGAATAATATATAAAACTATTATGGGGGATATATATTTTGATTATGCCAGCTGTTTTGAGTTTTTAATTTTTAGTGAAGTAAAATGGATTATTTCTTTGCTGTAAACACCTGTTTGTTTCCCTCGGTGTCACTTTGAAAGCGCTCCGATGTGTCAGTGTGGCATCTTACAATTGGTGACGTTTGGATTAAACCATTTACAGCAATGGGGGTGTTGAGAAATATTTGTAATCGCACAGATCTAAATAAAATGCATATACGGTGTGTTTTTCTTTATAATTGTCTAACTTAAACTACTGTAATTTTATTGTACTTTTGTTTGATTGAACATTCATAACTAATTTCCAGATAATATTTAACATTCTTGTCGCGCTCCACTACGTTGTTGTGGACGTGGTATCCTCCGGAGGGTTGGTGTTGTGAATAGGATGTGAAATCGCCGTTAACCCGGCTGACGGGATTCTGCTTTCCAATCAGTATATATTTTAAACTAAATTTTAGACCATATTATATAATTTGGCCATGGCGGAACATCCGACAAGTGAGCAGTTGGCCAGCAAGGTGGCTGACTTCCAGGCCACGGCGGAGTTTTTCTACAGTATCGCAGTGGAGAAAGTGAAAGATGTAGGTGGCAGGTTCGGTTAGCATTTCCCATTTAGCCACCACAGCAGATATAACGGAGTGTCATCAAAAACACGGCAATATTTTAGTTTTAATAGCTTTGATTGTAATTTTTTACTCCTGAATTTTAGACGTGTGTGTGTTCTGACTGTGCTGCTGGTTAGCTGTCAAGACTGATGCCATATATTATGTTGTATTTTAACGTGTTTATGATCATTAGCATAGTTAGCTGCTGCAGTCTTTTTTGGTACTTTCATCAGGTTTTATTTGTCTTTCGTGTTGTTTTTCCTTTCGGGCAGGTGTTTGTTAATGTTCTCTGTTGTTGAGATGTATGTTATTATCTTATTAGAACTGCATTTGCCTCTAAAAACAGCAGTTTTTTTCCCCACACTCTTGCAAACAGAAGTTCCTGTTTTGCAAAGAGGCAATACAATTAGGAAAGTGTTGTAATTTTTTTAAACACGCTGCTTTAATACTAGTTTTACAATTGTATATATA